ACGTAATGCATTATGCCACCAAAACTCCTTAGTAAATTCATTGTTAAAGCTAAATGGGTGTGTGAAAAGAACAACCATCTTGAATTTTAGGGCAAAAAGACCCATTCCATTATTTATGTTACCCACTAATGGCAACATGTTGAAATTGCATTGAATATTGTGAAGAACATGAAATTAAGCCTTGGTGTAAAACTAGAATATCCTCCAAGTGACTGTTAGAACTACTGAAGAAGTATTTATCAACGTATTAATGGAGGTGCCAAAGAAAAATGCAGGATAAATGCAATACTAATTGTTAAACAACTTCATAAAGTCTTTGTTATCTGTAGAACTCTGTTAAGCATAGGTTCTTCAGAATTTACAAGATTCTTATTGTTGTTGGGTGTCATTGGGTCAAGTATGACTCATAGCAACACTATGAACAAGATACTTGAACACTGTCCTATCTTGTGGCATCCTCATTATCTCTGACGCACTTGATCCCATTGCTGCAGTCACTGTCACTCCATCTCATTGGAGGTCTTCCTCTCTTTCACTGATCCTCTTTTTTTCCAATGTCCAAAATATGAAAGATGAAACTTTACTGTCTTTGCCTCCAAGGAGTACTTATTGAATTATCTTTTCTAAGATATATCTTTTTGTCCTTTTGGCAGTCCATGAGAGATGTTCAGCACTATTCTCAAGCACCACAACTCAAAGGCATCAATTCTTCTTCTGCCATCCTTATTCATTGTCCAACTCTCAGGTGCATAACAAGTGACTGAAAAGACTAGGGCCTAAAGCAGGCACATCTTCATCTTTAAGCTGACATCGTTGCTCTTCAGGACTTTGGAGAGGCCTCTGAGAGGGGACTTGCCCAATAAAATATCTCACCTGACTGTACTAGTGTGCTGATTATTGATCCAAGAAAGATGGAATCATTGACACCATCAATCCTTTCTCCATCTCTCATGATGTTGTCTGTTGGCTCGGTCAGTGGTAAGGACCTTTGTTTTCCTGATGTTGAGCTGTAACCCATACTAAAGGCATTAGCCTTTGATCTTCTGCAACAAGCATTTCAACTCCTTTTTACTTTCAGCAAGCAAAGTTGTATTATCATTATCTGCATAATGTTTATGAGTCTTCCTTCAGTTTGATGCCACATCCTTCTTAATAGAGTCCAGCTTCATGAATTATTTGCTCAGCATACAGATTGAAGACATAATGGAGAAAGAAAACTAATGTACACATTCCCTGATTTTTAAACCATGCCGTGTTCCCTTGCTCTGTTTCTATACCATCTTCTTGGTCTAGATATAGTTTTCACATGGGCACAATTAAACGTTCTGATATTCTCATTCTTTTCAATGTTAGCCATAATTTGTTGTGATCTACATAGTCAAATTGGCCAATTAGCAGCTTCATGATGGATGAAGAGATGGCAATTGTTGATAACTTCAGCTTGCTTGGTTCCACAATCAACACTCTTGGCACCAGCAGTCAGGAAATCAAAATATGGATTGCATTGGGAAAGTCTGCTGTCAGGGACCTCTCTAGAGTATAAACTAGCAACAATGTCAGTCTGGAGACTAAGGTACACCTGATTCAGGCAACAGTCTTCTCAATTACTTGAATCTTAAATCTAAGAGATTTACAATAACTAAAGATTATAGAAGAATCTATGCCTTTGAGCTGTAGTGTTGGAGAAAAGTACTGAACACACCGTGGACTGCCAGGAGAACAAACATATCTGTCCTAGAGAGGGTGAAACCAGGCTTCTCCCTGGAGGCAAGGGTTTTGAGGATCCATCTCACATACTTTAGGCATGTAGCCAGGAGGTACTAGTCTTTGGAGAGGGACATCATACTTGGAAGGGTGGAGGGACAGAGTTGAAGAGGAAGACCGAGGATGAGATTAATTGACTCAGTGACTGGAGAGAGGGGATGAGGTCTCTTGGAGACAATGAGATTGGGTTAGGAAAGGACAGGTTTCAGAGCAAGGGTCCATAGGGTCACTAGGAGTCACAGGTAACTCAATGGCACATAACAACAACATAGTCAAATGTTTTTTCATAGTCAATAAAACACAAGTAGACGTTCTTGTGGTACTGTTACTTTCAGCCAGGATCTATTTGACATCAGAAAATGATATCCCTAGTGCTATAACTTCTTCTAAATCCTGCTTGAACTTTTGACCATTACTTGTCAGTGTACTGTTCTATCCATGTTCTATGATTTTCAGCAATATTTTGCTTGCATATGAGATTACTAACATTGTTTGATAATGTCTATATTTTGTTAAATCAGTTATCTTAGGAATTAGGACAAATATGAATCTTTCCCAGTCAGTCAGCCAGGCAGCTGTCCTCCAAATTGTAGACGCAGACTGGAGAACACATCCAGGACTATACTCGTTTAAACACAGTAACTGGTATTCCATTGATTCCTTGGGCCTTATATTTTGCCAATGACTTCAGTTCAGTTTGAACTTTTTTCTTCATTAGTGTTGGCCCTTGTTCATGTGATACTTGCTAAAATTTTTCAGTGTCAACCAAATCTTTTTGGTACAGTCACTGTGTGTATTCCTTTCAAATTCTTTTGGTACTTCGTGGACCATTCAAGACTTTATCCTTAGCATCTCTCAGTTTTCCAACTGGAGGTTTGAATTTGTTTTCTAGTTCTTTCATCTTGAGAAGTGCCAAGTGAATTTTTCCCTTTTTATAATGTGACTTCAACTCTTTGTAGATTTCATTAAAATAATTTCTGTTAAGCTCTTTTATGAATGCATGTCTTCCTTTTATTTAGGCTTTTTGGTCCTCTTCAATTGATTATTATATTGAATTATAATAGACATTGGTAAACTTTTCTGTAGGGAGCTCTGATGGCTTAGTGGTAAGAAATTGTGTTGCCACCACAAACGTACACAGTTTGCATCCACTAGCTACTCCATGGGAGAAAGGCAGTTTCCTCCCGTGCTGCGTCTGAAAATCCTCTAGAGGGTCACCTATGTGTTTGTTCCTACTTGACAGTGCACAACGACAACAACAAACTTCTCAAAGAATAATTTTAAACTTTTTAGTCCATAAATGTTCCTGAATGGCACAAACATTTTGCACTAGACTACTTACCTAAAAGATACTAACCTATAGTTTGGTGTTTCAAACCCACCTCATGGTGTAATAAAGGCCTTGTCATCTTAATCCACAGGGAAAACAGTCAAGAAAGTTCTGTCAGGAATTTTCACACCGTAATGCATCAGTCATTATGCCTTGGAATCGACTAAACAGATTTTTTTTTGGTTGTGTGTGTGTGTGTGTTTTTTTTTACAACAGCATTCCTGTTGCAACTATTCAAATCTGTGAGTTATGGTAAAAACAGTTGTAGATAATATGTGAATTAATAGGCATAGCTGTATCCCAGTAAAATTCTTATATACAAATAGACATTGGGCCAGATTTGGTCCTTGAGTCAAAATTTACTGAGCCCTGAATAAGACCCCATCCTAAGTTTCTCCTTGTACTTTATGTCCTTGTAATTATCTATTTCTTTATACCTAAGTATATATAATTTTTTGTATTTATTTATTTATTTTTCTTTTCCTTGGCAATTTATTTTTTTTATTGAGTTCTGGTAGCCTAGTGGTAAGACACTGCACCACAATCTCAAAGGCTCATGGTTTGAATACACCAGCTGCCCTGCAGGAGAAGGATGGACAATCTCCTCCCGTGCAATTCACTGTCTCTGAAAACTCACTGGAGGGTCAGCTATAGGTTGATTTCAACTTGACAGCACAAGACAACACTGTATTTCCCCCCCTATTGCTGCAAATTCCCTCCTGCAACCTTCTCCACAGTGCGTCCCTCGTTTCAGATGCTTGTCATCCTAATGACCTAATTCGTGGTAACACCTGCTACTCTATAGCCCTTTACCTGCAGTCATTTTTTTCTGGATTACCAACTTTGCAAAATATCAATGGTGTGACCGTGGACCCTCTGCTAATTTCAGGTGATAGAGAATTAGCAATATTTATTACCAGTTTTAATGACAGAATGCTTTGTTAGATGTCATCAATTTGACTATGACTTCTAGAGACGTTATGAACAATGGATCTGAACACTGCCTTTTCGTGTGCCGTACCGATTGTCTCAGATATACTATCTCACATACTTTATGCAAACTTTAGGGGGCACTAGTCCTTGGGGAATTATATTATGCTTGGAAAAGTAGTGGGCCAGCATAAGAGAGAAAGACCCCCCTAAAAGATCAGTTGATACAGCAATTGTACCAATAGGCTCAAATAATATTAGGGATGATGAGGACGGCATATTAGTTTTTGAAGTTTGAATGCTTAGAGGCAAACACAGTTGTTACTTCTGCCTGTGCTTGTTAGTGGTGCCATTTTCACATGAAATCCCATTTTCAAATGCTTTCAGTCTTCAGACTATAAAATCTTAAGCTTTTGAATTGTGGTCTGCTTTCTTTAAATTCTCTACAATGTGGCTGGTTAGCTTCTTGCTAAACATGTTCTTTTACTTCTTAAGTGAAGCACAGCCATGTTTAACAAGCCAACCTCTGCAACATCTAGAGGGGGGTTAGTTTTGTCAGATTACTTGCAAAGATAGATGCTGGTCTCTGGATTTAGTGAGTCCCTGGAGAGACACTTGTAATAAATAGCGGGAGAATTGAAAACAACCCTTACCTGTAGAGCCATCATACCTGGCTCCAATCCTAGCCTCTACTATCTGCAGTGAAACTCACAAACATGCTCTTTCTCCTGATGTAGCTGCATTTCCGTTCTTCTAGGTTCTAAACTTCACCTGCCTTTAGTAAACTTGATGTTGGCCTAGCTCTTCCTATGTGTGCATGAAGGCTCATAGATTATCGAGATTATTGAGATTTACTAGGTGCTTTAAATTCATCGCTTTTCCTATTCAGCAGTTTCGCCGTAGTCTTGGATAAAGGTGATTTGTGTGATCCATCTTGTTTTATGTCTCACTTGACGCTCTGCCTTTTTCTTGACAGGTTGCTGAATGCCATAAAGCCAGGACTTGTTAAAAAGATCAATAGATTGTCTACTCCCATTGCAGGGTTGGTGAGTATCCAGAATTGAGATTTATTTCCTAATATTCTTTTGCTCTAACCTAAGGGTCGTGACAATGCCATTTATTACAGCTTTCTCCTGCAATACATATTTCACTTGGATGCATATGCATTGAATCCATTAAATGAAAAGATCACATAGAAATGAAAGATTGCAATGATGCCTCAATCGCAGCTTAATCTCTGTTTGCTTTTTCTCCCCATGAGTGATAAGAACCTCCATTCTAAAGAGATAAATTTGTTTTGGGGTGAGAAGGTAATGGTTGGCTATCCCCAGGGAAGGAATATGATGGTAATGAAGGTTTTTTAATTTCATGTGTTCACTGCAATCCCCTAGAATTGAGAAGAGGGATGGTGGGACAAAGAAAGTAATATGATTAACAAGGAGTGTTTTCATATACATTGCTGTTTACAGTCTTCAAAATCCCCTTTGTATTCACTTATGATAGACTTACGATAAATAAACTTTTCAACAGTTTTACATACACATTTCAGTGACCAGTTCTAAGGTGTTCTTAATACTGTCTGAAGAAATTCTTAAGGAAAGTCATTACCTTCAGAACCTGCTAGGTTTAGACATAGTCAAGGAAGTAAAGCTGTAACTGATCTTGATCCAGAACACTTACGGGAATAAGAAAAATTATAATAGCGTACTCAGAAGAGGCATAGTCAGCCCCTTCAGGAACCTAACATCTAACACTGAATTATTGCCTGGATAATAGAAATTGAACCACACACTCAGTGTGGTATGGTAGGCTGCCATGTTTGAGACGGGTGATGTTGGTATCAACACAGCTGATGAAGAGATTTGGTTGCTATGCAATGTGCATGCTGCCTTTGTTTTCTAAGAGAAAGTTAGTTTCTTGAAGAGATTTAACTTGTAAATTTTTTTTTGTTTTTTATTAGCATCCCAGGTCACCTACATTTAAAATGTATGACTTCTTCCAATGCTACTTAATTAGTCATGAGTAAAAGAGAAAACGTATATGGTCAAAAATGGAAATTTCCTTGCCCCTATATATTACTGTATTTCATAATTCTTGGCAGATTATTCTAATTTCTTTAATTGGTTCTGCCTTTTGTATAAAGAAATGGAAAACATTTAGAAGTCAGGAAGACAATCAGTTTTTATTTCTGGAAGGACCTTGGTGCATACATACATGCAAATGTGTACACACACACACACACACACACACACACAGAGCTGAGGATGTTGGCTGGTGATGACTTACTGTTCCCATTGTAACTGCCTTTTGTGCATGTGGTTTTGTAGAAAACAATTAGAAAAATGTCAAGAATTTAGGCAGGATCCTACATGGATCTTACTGATTGTTGTTCAACAGCTTCCTCGCCACTTAGTAAAGACTAATTGGAATTAGATGTGACAACAATTCAATTGTGTTTGGAGAGTGTGGGGACTGTGGTGGTAAAGTACGTGATCTCAGCAGGTTTAAATGAAACGGATGTGGATGTTTCCTTTGTTTTAAGCATTGTTTCTGTGAGGAGTTTTCTTTCCCATACTTGTTAGCAGTGACTTGGTGACTGGCCTTAAAAATCCTTCCAATTTTATTGTCAGAGTCATGTAGCCAGCTAAGCTTAAAAAAAACAAACAACAACAACAAAGAATAAATTTAGAATAATTTAAAAGTCAAAGATCAATGAGCATGTGTGTTGTGTATATTAAAGTGTATATTTATGCCTCTTGTCCATATTTCAAGGAAGGAGGTCCATCCCTTTGGCATATAACTTTCTAATAAAACTATCTTTACTTTTTACCTTAAAAAAAAAAAGGTACCTATATTAATGATGTACCTGGTGCAAGCTGTGGAGAATGAGTAAGAAAGACTGAAGAGGAGGAATAGATGCCTTTGAATTGTGGTGCTGACAAAGAGTACCAAATAGATTGCCAAAAGAACAAACAGATCTGTCTGGGAGGAAATGTAACCACAGTGATCCTTTGAGGCAAAGATGGTGAAATTTCATCTCACATAGTTTGAGCATGTTGTCAGGCGGGGTCACTCATTGCAAAAAAGACATCATGCTGGAGAAAATATAGGGTCAGTGAAGGAGAGGAAGACCCTCAATGACGTGGACTGACACAGTGACTACAACAGTGGACTCAAGTAAGGGATAAATTATGAAGATGGCTTAGCATAGGACAAGGTTCTGATCTGTTATTCACAGTAATCCACAATATCTGTAATCCACAATATAGATGAATTACCTATTTTAGAACTTTATGAAATACATTTATTTTAAATGTGAAAGCCATAGTATTCATGCCTCTGATAAATGTCCGACCCTCAAGCCTGTACTATTTTACCTGGGAATTCTGAAATTTGATGTTACAAGAGTGACACTTGTAGCATAACACTGAGGAATGCCTCAGTGAGATCCACATGACAGAAGAAAGCAACTCAGAATCCAACAGATAAGAAGAAAAATTTCAACTTAAAATGGGAATCAATAATTTTAGCAAAATGAGCATTTGGAACACTTGCATATGCTGTTGAGTTGACTGACTTATTGTGACCCTATAAACAGTATCACTGAACGCTCCCCTATCTTGAGCCAACCACAGTGTCTCTGGCACACCTGTCTGTATTGCCATGGTCACTGTGTCAATCAATCTTATCCATGGTCATCTTCTCCTGCACTGACTGTTCATTTTTCCAAACATGATTTCCTTCTCCAGGCTCTGGTCCCTCCTGGCGATATGCTCAAAGTATGTGAGACAGCTTCACAATCCTTGCCTCCAAGAAGCAACCTGGTTTTATCCTCTTCAAGACAGACATAGATACATAGATATAGAGCCTCAACTTTGGGGCGTTTAAGCAATTTGATCAAGGAAGCAGGGGTTTTCCATTATTTCCTTACATTGATGTCATTTACTTCCCTTCTTTTTCTTCAACTTCACTTCCACTGTCTGTCCTCTTTTCTTCTATAAGAGTGTTCTCGCCCTTTTCTATCTAGTATTTCTCACCCTCATCCTATGTAGAAGTCTTCTTTACAAATTTATTTTCTTTAATCTGGGGGGTGGGGGGGGGTGCAAACCAAAACACCAACAAACTTTTCCTGTGTAGCATCAATTAATTCACTAATTGACTAATAATTCCCAAATCTACCAATGTGTTCACATCTCTTTCTCTGGTAGTAGATAGTTCTCTACCTACCTTCATCTCAACCTTTCCCAAACTGGGATACTATTTGGACTCCTGGAAGGAAGTGGAACTCTCTCTCTGTTCTCGTAATGTTCTGCCAAGGTTCTCTCTTCATGCCAGTTGTCTGCCCCTTCTACATTTGTGTCCTTTCTGTTGTCATGACATCAAATCTTTTAAATGCTGCCCCCAAATCATCATTTCTTGCCAAGTCCTCTTTCTTGACCTCTAGACCTGTGGTCCTGCCTGTTCACCTCTGTGTCTGGATGTCCTACCAGCCCCCTAAACTCAGCATATTTCAATGAGACTTAAATGACCATATCCTTCCACCTCACCATCAGTAAAGGCATTCAGCTGAGAATTTGGCACCTTTTTCCAGTTTTCTCCTTGTCTGCACTTCCTTGGTCATGGACCGGGAAGAGATCAGTTTTATCTTTTGCCTAAACTATTGTAATTGACTTACAGTTCCCCAAACACTGTAAATTCCCATGTGCGGTAACTGCTCATTATATTTCTTGTGGATGTAATACCTTTTCCCTTCTCATTGTGATCTCCTACTCTGAAAGAGCTGTGGTTGCTTAGTGGTGATGAGTTGTGCTGCCAAACCAAAGGCACAGTTTGAATCCACCTGTATCTCCACAAGAGAAAGACTGGCACTCTCCTCCTGTGTGATTGTTGTTGTTGTGTACTGTATAGGTGGACCAGACCCATAGCTGGCCCTATGGCAGGTTTTCAGAGGCAGTTAATCACACGGGAGGAGACTATCCTTTTACTGCAGAGCAGATGGTGGCCTCAAACCCCGTGCCTTCAGGATTGCAGTGAAGCTTCTTGCCACTAGGCCCTGTGTGATTAGCTACCTCTAAAAATCCACTGGAGAGGTATCTTTGAGTTGGCTCTGACTTGAAGGTACTCAACAATCACTCTTTGTGACAAAATACTCATCAAGATCTGACACAAAACAATATTCTTTTTGAAGTTCTTAGTTTACAGTCTATTACTGACCTTTCTTCTGAATTCTTTGAATAGCACAAGCAATTAAGTTCTTGACTACTAACCAAAAGATTGGAGGTTCAAACCTATCCAGAGGTGCCTCAGAAGAAATGCATGGCTATATGCTTCTGAAAGGTCATAGCTTTGAAAACCATATGGAGCACCGTCTACTCTGAAACACTTGGAGTCTCCCTGATTCTGAATCAACTAAATGACAAAAAGAAATAAGGAAATATGAAGAAATAGAGGAAAAAGAAATATGTTTTATTTCGGAATACAAATAGCATCTCCTATCATGTACCTCCAAATAGTATAGAAAATGAGTTAATACATTAACAAGAGAAAAGTCATCTGTGTTGTACATTATTTGAAGAACAACTGTTGAGCTAAAGGGATTTAAATTGTTACATCTTCATGTTATGACATTGTGGCTTTAATTGACCATGGCCAATCTTACCAATAATGCATCCAAATGGCTCCCGATTCTTTGTGATGCAGTGAGAAGTTAATCATTTTCATAGATTGCTGGTCAAAATATTCAGCCTGTATCAAATCGAGAGGAAACAGTCAGAAGTGTTGACATTGAGAGACATGCTGCAGAACAAGTCTCACTTTTTAACACTGTTGCCATTGTTGTTAGGTGCTGTTGAATTCAGTATCACTCATGGCGACCCTATGAACAAAAGATCTGAATCCTGCTCTATCCTGTGCCATCCTTATACTTCCTGACACACAAGAGCCCATTGCATCAGTCACTGTGTCAATACACCTGGTTGAGGGTCTTCCTTTCCATCACCGATCCTCTACCCTTTCCAGAATCATGCTCTTCTCCAAGGAATGGTCC